CCCCAAAACCCCAAAACCCCAAAACCCCAAAACCCCTGGATGGTTTTTGGAAGTTGAAATATGGATTTGGGGGATTGGGAAGAGTGAGGTAAGGGGGAGTACTGGTTGAAGACGGGATTTTGGGAGATTTTTGGGTTTTGGAATTTTTTAGTAAAATTTTGGGTGGGGTTATCTACGAGAGTATCCGCTTAATGTGACTAAGCTTATTACATCGTTCTGCAAGTGCTGAATGTGGAGGTTAGGGGAATAGTGTGAAAAATAAAGAATGAAGTATTTAGAAATTAGCCAGGTCATAAATAAGGTATATATGTAATACCTCAATAGATTGAGTATGAACAAATTTCAAAGAGATTTTAAATTCCTTTATTGTCTCATTTTTAAAGTTTAAGAATATTCTATGTAATTTGTGCTTACTTTCTTCATATTTTTGCTCAATTTTTTTAAATCAGATATTTCTTTTTCCATTTTAAGTCTCAATTTTCTCTCACTCCTAATCTCACTTCTAAGCTGAGAAACATATGTCGAAGCTGTTCTCACAGATGATCGTTCTAGAGAATATTTTAAACATAATTTACTTGATTTTTCCCCTGAAAGAGTACTTCTCATACTAAAAATCTTTGTATCAATCTCCTCAACGGATTCTTCAGACTCTTCTCCTTTGCAAGAGAGATCTCCTTCACCTTCTCCTTCTGATGAGGTTTCACTTGATTTATTTCTACCAAGGGTTACTAAGAAGCTTACTCTTCCTCTTTCTCCTCTATCAAAGAGTTATCCTTCTTTAGTTTAGAAGCACTTTCTGGTTCTTCTAGAATATTGGAATATTATAATGAACAAAAGAGGCTGCTTACCTTTATCCTCCTCTTCTAGTTTTAATTTCTTCCTTCGACTAGATTTGTGCTTCTTCCTTCTCTCTTTCTTGGGGTAAGTCTCTCTTTGGGTTATTATTTCATTACTTCAAGTTCTCAACCCTTTGAGATAACTCTTCATTAAGAGGCAATTTTCTTTGTTCATGTTCCGAGCTATTTCTTGCTATCGACCTGTAGGCTGAGATTTATAGCACTTACAACCGTTGTGAGGCTGCTTTATTTTTGTAATATTTACTAAGAGCTTTCATTTCTTTCTCATTAAATCTGGGTTTGGCTACAGGAAGAGAGTGAAGGGCTTTAGAGGTGAGTTGACTTCCTCCCTTCCGGCTTTGTATCATCTTTTGTCTACGAGCTGAGCCTCTCAGAGACATCACTGAAGTTGAAACTCTCATGTATCGAGTACTTGGCATCACCTGAACCCCAGGAGATTTCTGGGGGATTGTTAAAGGCAGAGAACCCTGACTAGAGCTTCTCATGAACCTATGACTAGACCCAAGACTTGTATAAGGCTCTTTATTCTGTTGAAATATCTCTTGCTGCTTCTTTCCCAGCGAAACCCTATTCTTCTGGTACCTAAAATCTAGACAAACTCCTGTACCTTTCACAAATCCTATAGTACGCGTCTAATCTCGGATTCTTCTCTCTATACCCCTTCCACTTCGAATCTTCACTAACCCCCTCCTGCCTTTTGCCAGCATATTTCAATCTTTGATCACTAGCATGATTTTTATAGAACCTCCTTTCATGGTCAATAGCTTCTTTAAGAACAGCATGGTCTTTTGCGTACCCTAGCATTTCAATATTTTTATTTATTAACGGGGTTTTGGGGTTTTGGGGTTTTGGGGTTTTGGGG